CCAACTTTTAATATAAATATTAAATATAAACTCACTCTTCCACGCACCCCCCTATTTATTTCAAAAGGTGTGCCCTTAATTAACTGTTTCATTTTGTTCTGACACCGTTTACGGCAAGGATTTCTTATCCGGTCACAGCCACACATCCTGATTTACACCGTGACAGTGTATTACTCCCTCCGTCTTTTTCTTCGCATCACTACCAAAAATATATATTCGAATATCTATTTACCGGAAGGTAGAAACAGACGGATGAAGCTGGGATAACATCGTATATAAGAGCATGCAGGACGAGTCCATCAAACACAGTTCCTCAACAAACATCGCTTTTTCAAAAAAAAAAAAAAAAACACAAAAAAACACTGACTCTGGTGAACTTCTTTGTCTACAGTCGACTGAAATATTTGTGCGGTACATGTATAGATATATTAAAGCGCGGCGGTCGTCGCGCTGCGCGTGTTCGAATTTCATGTAAATAAACAATGTATTTTACACGCGTTGTATACGTCGCTATGAGTCCCACATCGAACAGGACGCGGCACGACGACTGCCTCCCTTTAATAATACAAGTCACTTCGCGTTATACGTCTTTCGCGGTCAGTAATTTGATAACTATTTGATAAACTGGCTTGGCAATTCCATCACCAATTAGACAATAGCATTTGGGCTAGTTTTTCAACAAATCTAAAATCACTCTAAATAATTTTGTTTACATTTATGATTTCATTTGAATTTTTTTTTTAATTTTAATTGGTATACATATTTTTGATCATACATGTACACTCACAAAATTACCCACAGAATAAGTGAATATAGTATACTGTAAAACATGTTGAAAAAGCGGCATGCAATTTTAGCGAATTGTGGTAAAATGACGTAATAGCGAAATGTTGATTTAGCGAATATCTCTTGTCATTGTTGATTTCTTTGTTTGGCGGCCATTTTGAATTGATAATAAAGTCATTAGCGACATCTTGAATTAGCGAATCAGTTCTCTCGCTAAATTCGCGAAAAAAAACATGTTTTACAGTATAGCCTTGACAAAAAAGCATTATTTTTTCGATCTGTGTAACTCCATGTGGAAATCCTAATCAGATTTAAAGTTCAGTTCACAACTGGTGGTATTGAAATATTACTTGTCGTTTTTGTAAATAACGACACGCTATGATCGTCTGCCGCGTGCGCAGGTGACGACGACTCTGCTTTAAAACAGTTCACAGGATTGTTTTTCTTCGAATCCGTCCGATATGTCATGGTTAAAATTTTCATTTTTGCATTAGTTTCTATATGGAAAAAATATTTCTTCATGATATCTCAAAATTTCTATTGTACACACTGGATCTCTCCAATAATGCATTGTATGCAGTAACCTGCTAGTGCCAAATTTCTAAATAAAATTAACTCAAATATTTCGTCATTTCACGAAATACCCCGGGAAGAGGGTCTGCCATCCGAACTAAAAACATTGACCGTGTTCCAAGGC